GATGTGTCTAACTCTCTATCCCTCTCCCTTCCTCTCTGTAAAAAAAAATCAATAAAATATATTAAAAAACAAACAAAAAACTCAGCCCTGAATCGGGGCCCACGGCTCCCAGTCACCGTTTCTCAGCCAAACTGGCACCACTATCAATTCCAGAAAGACATGATTTCTAATTATTAATTAAATAATAAGATTAAAAAAAAACCCTTAGTGTCCTTGAAAATCTCTCACATTTTAAAGTCACACTATTCTTGCCCTGGCCGGTTTGGCTCAGTGGATAGAGCGTCAGCCTGCGAACTGAAGTGTCCCGGGTTTGATTCCGGTCAAGGGCACATGCCAGCCCGGGTTGCGGGTTCGATCCCCAGTGTGGGCTGTGCAGGAGGCAGTTGATCAATGATTCTCTCATCATTGATGTTTCTATCTCTCTCTCCCTCTCCCTTCCTCTCTGAAATCAATAAAAAGTATATTTAAATAAAAATAAAAACAAAATAAAATGAAATAAAATAAAGCCACACTCTCCCCAACCCTGTCTTTCCACTCGGCAAGCAAAGTGTTTCCTCGGAGAAGCTGCCTCCCTCGGCTGAGCCCTCGGGCCTCGGCCCCATCCCGGCCACACAGCCCTCCTCGCCAATAAAGAAGTCTAAATACAATCTGGCAATTTTTAAATTAAATTAAAAAAAAGTAATGGACTTGAAAGAAATTAGATTATAGAAAAGTAAAGGACTTGAAAAGAATGAGAACTTGCCTCCTCGTTCTGAGGACAGTGTTCCCCTGAGCCGCCTGCTCCTGGTTCTGCAAACACCCGATTCTGACCGCGAGAATGTCCCGAGGCCCCGCTGGCCCTCGGCCGGCCCGACCGCTCGCCCCGCTGCGGCCCCTCAGGCCGGCAGCCTCTTTCAGGGGCTCAGTGACTCCCAGACAAGCTGCGTTATTTCAGTCTCCAAAAGGCGCCCGAAAATCAAGAGGCTCTGAGGTCCCTGCACCCCGGCCCCTGTCCTCCCTGGTCGGCCTGCCCAGGCCCCCGGCCGGGGGGACACGTCCCGAGGCCCAGCCACTAGTGCCCAGAAAGACCCACCGAGAGGAGCAGAAAAGAAAGGCCCGAGAAGGGCCAGCGTTCTTACCTGAGGAGACGGTGACCAGGGTCCCCTGGCCCCAGTAGTCCATACCGTAGTAATCACAACGGTGCAATCGCCATCCTCACCCCACAAAAACGGGGGGGGGGGCGGGCGCTGGCCCGG